TCTGTGACGGAGGGGAAGTCGAGCAAGGCGGCGAGTGGGAGTGTGGTTGAGGTGCGGGGCGATGCGACGAGTCTCTCGTTCGAGACGACGATGAGGATTCGCATGCAGGCGCGGTTCAAACCGCGCATCAAGGCGAGTAAGGAGACGAAGGCGAAGGAGAAGATTAGCCGGAAGGAGCTGGAGGAGATTGTCGGGAGGAGACTGGATGATGACGAGGTCAGGAGGCTGAAGAAGGCGAGGAAGGAAGGGAATTTTCATGAGGAGGTGCTGGATGTTAGGGTTCGGGGAAGCATGATAAGTTTGCTTGAGTTGGTTTTCTATATTCCCTTTTCTTTTTTATGCTGTTGTTTCTTTGCTGGGTTGGGGATTCTTTAGGGTTATGCATTGTATCATGTCAATAATTGAGCTTTTATTTGGGATGTCTATTGGGTTTGGTTTGTCTGTACTACTTATGCTTGCTACAATATATGGAGCTTTGTGTTCTTTCATGTACTATATAGGGTTGAGGTGGATAGTTCATATGTGAATGTGGCGATTGTGTACTAATCAATCGATGTGAAATCAGGCTCTAAGATGGAAATCAGATATCACTTGATTACTTCCGACGGTCAGATCCGGGCAAACAACGTCATGATAAGGTCAGGACCTTGGGGGTTGCCCTCAGGGTCCTCAACCACTACTATTTAAGATGGAAGGCCCCGTATATTCACATATAAACATTCATTACTCATCAATCGGTGGTATCTATATATACAAGAATCTAGTCAAAAGTGATAGCTGCCTTGATGGCAGACTTGTTCCTCATCGACTCCAAGCACTGTTCCCACTCCTCAAGTTTGAACACCTTGTTCACGATGCCCTTGACCTTCACCTTGCCAGAGTCAAGGTAGTCAATGGCGGCGGGGAACTTGTAGGTCTCGGAGAAACTTCCGATAATAGTGATCTCGTCGCCAACTGCCCCGAGTGTCAGTCGTTACACATCGCATGAGAGGAGGGACACTTACAGATCTTGCTGGGAGGCCAAGAAACGCGGGCCTCATTGTTGTACACGCCGTACACGACGAGCTTACCGCCGCGGCGGACATAGTTGATGGAGTCCTCCAGAATCTTGACACTGCCGGTGGCTTCCACGACAATGTCGAACCCGTAGGGGTTCTCCTTCTTCAGCTTCTCGAACTGTGCGCTAGGATCCTGACGCGACAGGGCGACATATTCATCACCAGCTTCGAGGGACTTGGCCAGGTCCAACTTCAGACCTTCGGGAGCGGCCACAACAACACGGCATCCACCGCACTGGCGGAGCAACTGAGCGAGGATCTGGTGGGTGTTAGAGAGACGCGGAACAATCTCCCGGACATAGGTCAACTTACAAGGCCGGTGGGACCAGCACCGAACAACAGGACGGAAGAGCCCATCTTCGGAGCGATCTTGTCCAAACCGTGAGCGGCGCACGAGGCGGGCTCGAGGAGGGTGGCATCGACGTCAGAGAGGTTCTTGATCTTGAATACCCTGCCAGCTACAGAGAGTCAGCAATGACACGGTAGTGGATCCCAGCATCTGCCACTACTTACCAGGGTAAGCGCAGTACTCAGCAAAGCCGCCGTTCATGGTGACACCGTGGGCCTCGAAGTGTTCACAGAACAACTCATCTCCACGGCGGCAGTAGAAGCATTCACCACAGAGCTCCGAGTTGTCAGCGACGACCCGCTCGCCGACTTGGAAGCCCTTGACCTTGGGGCCAACAGCCGCGACGACACCAACAGTTTCGTGACCTGACCACACATATCAGTATGTTGTATACCCCGAGGGGACATGGCGACGTGGAGTCGTTGACATACCAGGAACCAAGGGGAACTAGCACAGGGTCAGCCCAGGCTCAATTGGTTAAATGTGGGACAGTTGGAATCATACCTTGGCAATGAATTGACCCTCGTGGATGTGCAGGTCAGTACCACAAACACCGCAAGCTTTTACTTTGACCTATAGCAATCCGTCAGCAAACGGTTTGCACGGGCAGCCATAGGACTACCAAAAGAAACCGGCACATACCAAGACATCATTGTCACGGAGCTTGGGAAGGGGAACGTCAACAACAGCATGTTTCTCAGGCTGCTCATATCTGATATGGGACGTTAGCACTGACCAATTGGATGAGCAAGGATAGTAGGGGTCCGTCGTTACCTGAGAGCCTTCATAGACTGAGGAAGAGACATGGTGGATGGTTGTTGTTCTAAAGAAGGTCAGCAATTGTTTGTGGTGTGGCCTGAAGACGGCTGGTCGATTGATTGCCAAGGGAGGGGGGGTCTTACAAGGATATTGGAAGAGGGAATCAGGCAAGGAAGGGCAGTCAGTATTCAGGATAAGGATACGATGATTGATTGATTGATTGACTGAAGGTGAGAAGGAAGAATGGAAAAGCGAGAGAAGAGCAAGCGAGGGAGGAGGAGATATTTGAATGTCTTGCTGGAGCCGTGAGGATGGAGGGGCACTGAGGGGAATGAAGTCAGTGTCGCCGAAGAGGTACGAGTGCAAACACCTGTTGCTATCCAATCCCATACTGCAGTCCATAGTATAACTTCGTTCTGACCAGGTTCACTGTCCTCCGGGTCCACTCGACCAATCCTGGTGGCATCTCAGCGAGTGGGGTCCCATCAGTTGACTGTTTCTCAAACGCCAGAAAGCCCTCAATGTAATCCTAGCCGTATCGATGCCTTATTTTTTTTATTTACCGTTTGCCTGGTCAAAAGTATAATACCGCACCTGACCGGGACGACACTCGATCCGATAGGATACGATACGATCTGAATTCCACCGCTCAGCATCTTGCGTGGTGGTTGTGTACAAGACGACAAACGCATCGGCAAAAGGGTCAAAGCTACGCCCAAGACCCAGAAATGACTTCATAGAATCAGCCAGAACTCAGCCCCACTCGGTGCGTACTAGACCAATTTACCTACTTACTAGCATTTACCTACTTCCGGACGGGTACACTAGACTCGCATCGTCGTCCCATGACTTCACTCCCCCACTTCGCGTCCCGCAATAACCTCATCAAACCCCCCAAACAAGGCACACGACGAGAATGCCAACGAAAGGAGAAGAGAGAGAACCTCCAGGAACCACCCTATCGAAACAATTTGGTTCCTGATGGGCCATATTAGAAGCTTTGTCAAGGCGGCGGACCCGCCCCCTGACCACCACCATCACTGATATCATCCACGAAACCGTCCATTGTTCTGGACAAGGGACACGCGATGTATGTCCCTCCGGAAATCCAGATCGCAAATACACTCCACGCCTTGCTCCACTTTCTTTTTTTTTCTCACCACAACCTTAGCTGTTAGGTCGGTCCTTACTGCCACTTCCCGTCAACAGAGGTTACTCGTTGCCTGAGGACTGAATTGGCGCATCAGGTGATACAGTACTTAAAACGTACAGCCTTAGTATGCATAATGGCGTTCCGAGCATGTTTCCTAGGTCGACAGAAAAGGAAGACACAACAGAAAAGACTTAAGAGTAAAGCAACAATGAATCTAGCCACCACCGCTGGTCCTTCTTAGTCAGTCCCGACTGATCAATCAATGGCAACAAGACCATGGCGAGATCTTTCAAGCCTGTTATGATAGCATTGCAAACAGGACATGCAGAGCAGCTCAAGTTAATGCTTGTGGCTTGGGTCCCATGACTATAGAGCCCCTAGCTCCCAGAAGTCCCTGAACTTTATACGAAATATATATCGAGTTCGAGTAGTACCAATCTAAGCGAGAATACGGCGACTGCAGCCGGTGCATTTCTGAGGTCTGGCCGGGTCTATTCAAATTTTGCTAGTTGATGCTACCTATACTGTACAATGGAGGCTCCCGCATAGAAAAAGCAAGTCGACGGACAGGAAAAACTATTAATTATATTTTAACCAAAGAGGATAAACGCCCCTAGGATAGGAATAGGGTCATCACAACGTCGGAACCAGTCGTCTCAGGGATACCAGCCCAGTGACACGTCTATTTCAGTCCAAATCCTTCACTGTTGAGCACTGCTCCCCAGAGTCTCCGCTCCAATTGTTCCCGCGTAGTATACCGATACAACCCTAGCATATTGAAACATGTACGTGCAGTTGGGAATCGTGACGAATCGTCTCCGAGACAGGCCACCCGGATTATGAGACTCGTTGCCCCCATGGCTGGAATACGGTCACTGCCTGTAATGAACGATAGTATCTTTCGCTGTGCCTGCGGCTGTGTGTGCTCGAAGAAATTCCAGAACCACTGCACGACCGGCACCATCTCTGGCCGGGGGTCCGACCAGTTGTCGTACGTGGCAACTGCCCGTAAGGACGCCACATCTAACGGTTCGTCTGAGCCGCGTACTAGAAGTTCAATCTCTTCGGGGCGAAAGAGGGACAACGCATTGCCGCCACAGACAGTGAAGAAGCCACGTTTGAAGGGCTCGAACTGTCTGGTAACGGCCGTATCCAAAAGGTAATGAACATACAAGTCCACAAACTCCCGTCGGTTCGCATTGGTAACAGGCCGCTTGTCACCCCCGGTGCAGAGCGGCACCGCAACTACTTCGCCGTAGCGATCCATTTGAGCGACAAAGTCATAACAAAAGGTCTCCGCAACATCTCCTTCGAAATCCAGAAGGGCTCGGAGGCCCTTCGCAAGTGCAGGTCGATACTCAGCCAGGTCATCTAGGCTACACTTGTAAGTCGACCGTGTTGTTGCAGGCTGCGGTCCAGTCGTCTGCGGAGCGGCAGCCAGGAGTTTCTTGAATGCGAAGGGGGGAAGGTTTATATCAAGTATTGTGGAGTTGTAAATGGCTAGTCCCAGTAGAACTCCGACCAAAAAGAACTGCTCCGATGATTCAAAGCAGTATGGATTGAAATAACAAAACTGCGAGTCTTCATCATAGATAAAGAGTCCTGCACACACGTTAGTACACATATTTATCAAGGGCAACGAAAATCCTACCATGATGAGGGTCAAAGATCTCCCGGACCAACAGCAAGAACCATTCCTTGCGAAGACCGCCTGCGTCCACACCCTCTTCACCAATGAATTCAATACGGAGGCCCTTCTTGATCTCTTCTTGACTCGAACCTACGACTTCACTAACACTTCGTAGGCTATCATCGACCAAACAATCGCGTCGCACCCTCAACAAAAGATACTGGCTGATCGCTTTCCGACTCAATATGCTATTGAAGAAGGCTTCACGGGCTTTGACTTCCATTTGTCGTCGTGCATCGTGCTCAAGTATATGAATCTTGGCCCAGATGCTAAGGAAGAATGGATATTGACAGAAAGAGAACTTCGTGCTTTTAGACTCCCAGGCTTCGAAATCAGCCACAAGGTCCGAGTAGTCTAGCAATGTATTATAGAATGCGCTGACTGGGACAATTTGCCCTCGTCGGTATCCTTGAGGCTTGGCCGCAGAACCTGCTTCCTGACCGAGTACTCCATCCGGCTTTCGGGCAATGGTGGCGTTGTTGGCAGTGAAAAGAAGTGACATTACCCTCGCTGCTGCCCGAAGCTGCCAGTCATCACTATAGACCACTGGCTGATCACGTTTCTCGTTGGCCTGTTTGTTGGCGCTTCTCCCATTAATCGCCGCGTGCAATTCCGCTGGCGTATTGCCGGCGGCGCTGGAAAAGCTCGGGACTAAATCGTCGTCATGCTGTGCCGACTCGCTGCGTTTCCGCCCATGTTGACGAGTCAAACGATATGTCACGAAGCTGCCGACGAGATCGACAAGCTTTTCAAATTGCCCAGTTGAAAACCGCGAAAACCAAGAAACAAGATAGTGATGGCAGTCATTGGGTAAATTCGCCAACAAACCCAGCATCCGCTTGACGATGCCGGAGTGGTGGCCGGGTCCCCCGCTCCGATGTCTGGAGGGAGAATTGATATCAGGAGGCACTGGTCTATGAGCTGTATCTTTCGTATTAGACGGTCTTCTGTGACTACGGGCTGCAGAAGCGGCTCCAGGATGGAGCGCGACGTGTTGACTCGACGAGTATATCAATGGATTCACCAGGAGCATCAAGACGAATCTAATATCCTCTGGTCTCTTCAAAGGCCGCCGGGGCCGCTTCAAGAGATTCTCGGTAGCTTTCATGAGTGTCCTGTGCAGGTGCAAGCGCGACTCCATGAATTCTCTTTCAATTAGGCTCATGTCAGCGGTATCCCACCTCTTATTCCTTGTACAGTCATCTTCGTCGCATGCATCAAGAGGCTTCAGCCCTGACCACTGCTCAACCCATGTCGTTCCTGCTGTCATGATCAACTGGTACCAGTGTGCCAGTTCAGCCCAGTGGATACGGGGACTCCTGGAGCTGACCGCCCGTGCAGAGCTAGTCGGTTTTTCTTTCAGGTGATGGGAACCAGTTTGTTCGGTTTCGTTCATCCACCAGGAGGAGTTTTCGGCTAAATCTCCTAAGAGAAGAGTCTTTGCATCTGGTTCAAATACTGGATGTGCATGCGTAACACTATTGTCCGGCTTGTGTTTAGGAGGGCTGCATTCACTTGTAGACGGTGGCGCATGTTGTGTCGTAGTGAAAGAGCTGTTGAGGCAATCGCAGCCTTTGAATGAACTTATGATGTACTCTTCCACCGCCCTAAATATGTAAGGGCGATTTGGCTTATCCCTAGCTGCATAATCACATGGTCGCAGAGCTTCCCGTGGAGAACGGTCTCTTTTTGGCGTGTTCTGTACATCCCGATTCCTCATATGGGAGTCTCTTCCTTCGGTTGGTAGCGAAAACGGAGCAACATTAGGTTTCAAGTAATTTGCTGTACCATTCATCACATCCGGCCTGCCAGACCTACTGGACGCTGACGCACTACGACCCCGAGGGTCTACCGGCCGGGGTTCGGTGAGATATCCAGACGGTTTACCCGGGGACCTTGATGAATTTTCGTCTTGTCCGTTGATATGTCTGTCCGCCTGGCTTCCCGCGGGGGACGCTCGTGGGCCCCGCCCATCCAAGAGTTGTCGGAGATAGCTCGAAATGCATTCATCAATGATAGCTTTCGTTCGTTCGACGGACAATGGAATAGCTAAACCATGCAGACTAAAGTTAGACAACAAGCATTGAAGAATGTTTTGACGCTAGAGCGCACCTTTCCTGGGGATCGTCGGCAATGGCTTGTCGTCCTTCCCTGGATGAGCATGCCCGCTCGACTCGACGGGCCCTCTGGACGGTTCCAAATCATTGACGGTGAGGCATTCTGTACATCTAAAGACTTTGAGGTTCCGGGGCCATCGGACAGAGCAGTTGCATGTCATGCACTTTCCTGTCGTTAACTCCTCCCCCGGTGACAAACGTGGGGCGCCTTTCCGAGGGCTGCTGGAAAGGGGATCTGGTAAGTACGTGACCTCATCATCATCATCGTCGGAATCCAGAAAGTCATGCTTAGATATCGACTTGTTTCGCCTTCTGCCGGAAAATGGTGACGGGAATGGATGGCTGATCGAACGAGAATGTCCTCGACGTGGAAGAATATGTGGCGGCGAGGTTGCTAGATTTGCAACCATGGAGGGCGGAAATTGGGCTTCATGGGGCAATGACGACGGGGCGCCCCTCTCCGTCGGCAAAGGAGGGAGGGGCGCATTTAAATCGACAACATTTGAATGTGAAGTTGAAGGGTGGGATGGATTACGGGTAGTCCGCGGCGGCATATGGGCGCATTTGTTTAATTCAGGCTCCTGCTGTTGAGTTGATTTGAGCCCGGCAATGGAACGAAAGTTACCGGGTGGGTGGACAATATAAAAGAAAACAAGATCTTGTTTGTCGCCCAGAGATGTGGCTCGAAAGATACAGCAGGGGGGTCACGTTTTGCGATTCCAGGTCAAGCTCAGTAGTAGGAAGTAGTAGTTAGTGGTAGTAATAACCGGGACCGGATACTGCCGACGACTGGCAAGCTAACTTAGGCACTGGTGCACTACCTAACTTTGGCATGGGAGGAAAAGGTTAAGAGTGTAGCCCACCAACCGAAGTGGAGATTCAATTACTGTACGCCGGAGTAGTTCGTTGCTGAATTGATGAGTAGTAGTGACACGAATAAGGGTCGGAGGGGGGAAGAAGTTGTATGTAGCACAAGCGAAGGCAAACCCTGCAGATAAAAAAGAAAAGGAAGAACCAGTCGGACTAGAGAAGATTTGAAGTAGTAGAGACAGCACGACGGATTAGGGAGGTCGCATGGGGGGAGGTGAAACCGTGACTTGCTCCGTAGTTGAAAGTTGCAATCCGGAGGGGACAGCCTGCCTTAGGCAGCCCACCTTCCCACACTGACTTTGCCCTATGAGTGGCCGGTCCATGAACGCCGGGGCAGTTAGTTACGCGCCAATGTGACGCTCATGCTACTATTTTGGGCGTCCTGAAAGGTCTCCATAGCGGTAAAACCTGTGCACCGTACTAGCCGTCAATCCCCGCTACAGATTTCAATGCGACTGAGAAATCAATTGGGCAGGTGTCACTGTGCAATTAAACCTGTCTCGCAATTGAAACACCATCTTCGCTACCACCATCTAGTACTTCTGCTTATCCATCCGCCTGAGGGAGTTTCGGAGATTCATCCTCCTTGGAGCAAATTTATTTCACAACTTCTTCCTACTCATGCCATTGCAAAGCGATATGCCGATGCCCTGACCCTCTTGCCAGCTTACATGACCTACGAGATGCTCCAAGCGGTTGAACAGAAATAGTCATACTTCGTTAGGGGAATATAAAAATTGAACCAGTGAAAAGATTTTTGCTAACATCCGATCCGAAAGATCTGTTGCATTATGCTCGCACCCATTTCAAGGATATAGTCATAGAAGCGAGTTTTGATCGAGATAAACACATCCTCAGAATGAGATTTTTTCCACGACACACAACCCCAGGTATCCACCAAACTACGCTTAGCGGTATCTCCAGTAGCTCTGGGTGTTCTGGAGCTTCCAGGTGTGGCGGCGACCAGCCTTGGTGTTGTTGTAGCGGTGGCCCTTGTTGATACCACGGGACTTCTTGCCAGTGGCGGTAAGACCACGGGCCTCGCGGTGCTATTTGCAGAAAGCCATATCAGCAATGGTCTCGCAGAGAGACTTGGGCAGGAATAACAAACCTTGTGGACAGCGTTGCAGATCCAGTTGATGCGGGCATCACGACGGATGGCCTTGTGCTGGGGGTCGACAAGGATAACCTCGAAGTACTTGTAGGTGGAGTCCTGGTTGATCCAGTAGGAGTTCAGGACGCGCAAGTTGGCGCAACGGCGGCCAACACGCTCCTCAGCGGTAGCACGAAGAGCACGCTGGTACTTGAGCTGGTTGATACCCTGGTTGGTGGGCTTGCCTACAATCAAAAACCGTTTAGCTCTTGTCCTTCCCGGCGTGCTGCACAATACTGATGGAGATTTTCTGCATACCGTAGGTGGCACCCTTGGGGGCGGGCCTCTTGCGGCCACCGCGTCTCACACGGATACGGTAGACAACATAGCCCTGCTTGGCCTTGTATCCGAGACGACGAGCCTTGTCGGGGCGAGAAGGACGGGAAGCACGGTGGATAGCGTTCAGCTGACGGAGCTATATTGATGCACTCTCAGCAAAGTTCAACGAGTGTATAGCAAGACACACGAAGGAATGTGCCACATCCATCCGCCGGCGAAAAAAATCGTATCGAGCCGCCCAGTAACACCCTCTGAAGAAAAAGGTATCCTATGGCATAGCACACGAGCATCCGGCGGGATGTTAAATGATCGATATTGAGGGGGGAATTCTCACCTCCCAGCAACGGACACGGAGAAGGAAGCGGACCACATCGGACTGCTTCTTCTTCTGGATTTCTTCCACGTACTTGAGGGCACCCATCTTGAAGGACACAGATAAGTCAGCGTCAGAGAATTGATGGCTCCTAATAATTCCAAAACCGTTGTTGAAGTCGTCTTGAGAACTCAGGAAGACTTGGGTATTATAAACATACCTTGTCGGCGGTGGCAGGTCGTCTGTTGTCGTCGAAGTCGCTGCTGAGGTGTTGAAGGAACAAGATCTCTTCAACGAGGTTGTGTGTGGGACGCTAGGAAATTAGGCGAGATCTTCCGCATCCACCAACCAGCGTCCATGCAAGCCCTGTGTATGCCTGAGGTGTCAAATACCCGCCAAGATCTGAAAATGGTTAGTGTGGAAAAAATAAAAAAAGCTCTTTAGTTTTCTTTTTCAGCCTTAATATCGTTCTACTCTGCAACCTAGCGCCTTAACCTTAAGGCAGCCAAGTTGCTCTTGTGGCGAACCCACCTGCCTACAAACGTAAGCCTCAGCTACAATATGTACCTCCCTAAAGCGGACAGGGCTCACTATAACTGGAAGTTCTTTCTTGCCAGTCTCTTCTAGTAGAGGGACACAGTCCCAGTAGGTAGTAAATATTGATAATTTTTGAAAGATTCATTCTGTCAAATCATGCATTCACGATATACCCCCTTGTATTGTAGACACCTATTCTCCTTGCTCTCAACGAAGCTGACAAAACTTGAATATTCATTTCAGATAAGCATCGCCTCAACAACTACTACTACTACGAGATAAACAGAGCACAGATCGCAGATTGATACAGTAGGCAAAAGAAATAGAAATTTGTGAGTACAAACAGGGAAATCGCGCCAACTCCTGAGAACATCTTGAAGATCAAATTCAAGCAACCGAGCATTTAGGTCATGAAGCTGAAAGTCTATTAGGTATCGACACTAGCGACAGATCGTTATCTCCGTTGATCCGTGACATGCATTTTCTAATTCTTTAACAGGCGAAAAAGGAAATGGAAAAAAGAACAAGAAGAACGCACATTACAGACGAAGGGGAATAAGGTAGACAAAGAGCGGCGGGGAATTAGGGGAAGAAGTGATACAAGGCAAGCATGAAGATTTAGTCGAATTCTTAGTTGAAGGAAGCATTCATGACGTGAAAAGAGGGGTGTGTGAAATACTGAAAGGAGAGGCATAACGAACAGCTGTCTTGCGCCATTTCGTTTTGTCCACTAAGCCCCATGGAGGAATGACCGTATGTATCAGATGAGGCTTTGGTCGCAGTAATGTAACGCTTCGAAGAAGACTGAAAGGCTATAAAGGCATTATCAGAATAGACTGTTTCCATAATCAAACACTCTTCTTCTCAAGCTCCCGAGACACACCACTATGCTAACAGAAGGGCATAGGGTCAGCCTCAAGAACCTAGAGACAATCCCTGGAAGCGGCGCGTCCAATCTGCAGGAGACTGGTGAATGTGAGGACCAGCAGCTGTTCCAGGACTTGTGGCGTAATCAACATAGCTAGACTCTAAGCCACCATATGCTGCTGGTGGGTAGGGAGAAAAAGGGTCACCGGTGGCGAGCGAACCCAAACCCGACTCTGGCTGGCGGAGACCCTGCCCGAAAGGTTGATAGGACTCTGTGTATGCGGTACGCAACGCACCCATCTGATTGGCAATAGCTTCTCTATCAACCCCGTCGCGAGCATGGCCGTATGCCCTGCTTTCTGGGTGATGGGATCGGTCTGTCTGGGTCTCGGTATTGTAACCCAGAGGGTTTGGAGGCTGCAAGCCAGCAGTTGGGGGCGTGACAAACGAAGCCGGATTGATGGCTGACATCCAAATCCTAGTCTTGTAAATTTTGAATAAATCTGTCACAAGAGAGTTGAAGTTGATATATGAGTCCGCGAAGTAATAGAACGTGAGTTTCTTCCAATCCCTGTGAAAATTTGTTAGCGTTGATTGTCATCCATAATAATCTTCATACGATTCTTACATTTGGAATTCCGCATCAAGTATCTCCATGTTGAGCCGATGTTCTGCAACTTTCTGCTGGCAGACCCGCTTGGCCTTCGCCTCGTTACCTTCTTTATCACGCAATGTTAAAATCTCATGATTCTGGGCAAGTCTCTTAATCAATTTTGGCTTTATATCTGCAGACGACTCCTGCACTCCATGAGTACCATGCGGGCCCATGCCACCAATAGCGCTTCGGCTGCTCAACCCCCCTGAGGGACTGATAACGCTGGCTGCTCCACTCTGACCTTGTCTAGAAAACATCATCAACCATTTGTAATGTTCTTCAGCATACTGTTGTTTCAGTTCACGGGCCCTTTGCATGGAAACATTTGCATGTTGGATGGTTCCGAGATCGGTGCCGCGGTCGGCTTCAACGATGACTAAATCGCCGGGTTTCACTTGAAGGCCTGTGTCTTCTTGGATATAGAAAACATCCGCACGATGGCACTTAAACGTCACAATATAAAGAAGCTGGTTCTGGTGTGAATGCGCGAGGCCTGCTTGGTGGCGGGCATAGACGGTCGGCATCGTATATGCTTGGTGAAGTGACGCTGGCACTGCGGAGGGAGCATCGGCCACACGAAGAGCTTGGTCTCGAGCAAAGTAGGATTCTGCAAATCGACGAGCTCGTAAATACTCCGTTTCCATCTCATGCTCCTCGGGACGAGGAGCCATATGAACACGATAATACTCACGATTCTGGCCTTGCGCATTTGAAAGGGAAGGTTCAGTGACACCAACATAGCTATCCTCCCGGTCTCCAATTCCAGGTCTCGAGGTTGTGGCGACTTGCGATTCACCAGAAATAGAACCGTGCCGAATAGGGATATCGGCAAAAGAGTGCCGTCGACTCTGAGGAATATCGGCCATACTGCCAAAGCCGAGGGAGGTCTGCCAGTGGGCCTTCCTGACATTATCAAGAGCTCGGTTTTCCAGTGCAGTGAAGGGTGGAAATTGCTTTTCGAGGTTGGCCGAGTGCTCGGAAAACCTCCTTCTGGTACTGCCATGGATACTGTTGTAACCAGGGATGTCGCCCACTTCGTCAAGATCTTCCACTGCTAAATCTGCCTCCTCTGGGACACTGCCGGGGATGCGGTGCAAGTTATGGGCACCTGTGCCAACTACGTATCCGCCGGTCGCGGAAGCGGACGACATAGCACGGTCTCGGAAGCTGCTATCCATCTGGCCTGCAGCTTGACGCAAAAGAGCGTTCTCTCGAGACAGCTGTTCAATGGTGCGGGCCTGATCGCTGGCGTAATTGCTGAAGCTATGCTCTGAGCCGTTCGGGCTTCCGTCCTCGCCGTCGTCGTCTTCGCGAACCCGGCCGAGAGTAGCAGGATCATGACCCAATTCTCCAAGGAGGCTAGGCCGAGATGAGCGATGTTGCAACGCCGAGAACTGACCACCATTTCGAGATCGAACGCCAGAGTAGGTCGCACCGGGCTTATTTGCCATTAGATTTAAGAATTCTGGGTCTAATTGGCCTACCGAGTACGACTGCGAACGATAGGTCTTAGGGGTTGGGTGGAGTGGAATTGAGAAAGGAATAGCAGATTCGCCAGATGTCGTGCGGGTTGTAGGGCTCAGCAACTCGTCATTGAAATAGTTGCTTGCAGTTGAAGGGTTAGACATAGTGGGTGATGGGACGATTTCAGCCAAACGAGGAGGTGGTTCTTTTCGAGATTCAGTGTTCCAGATTCCAGTGCCCCATGGGAATGAGCCACTCCCAACGTGATTCCAGTTGATTGAACTGCTCATTACAGGGCTCGTGCTAGGCCATCCGGATTGGTCAGTCGCGGGACTAGTTGGGTTTGAAGCGCCGGAGGACAAGGGGCCAGTGCTGGTCAAAGAAGCCTTTCGATGGATATTGGCAGGCACTTCATTGAGCCACGAAGTACGACGGGCAGGCTTTGGAATGGGGGCAATGGTAGATGTAGACGTAGCCTGCATGTGCTCCACGTCGTCATCTGACGATGCCAATGCCTCTGAATCAGGCGTCGAACGGCGAACACCTGGGTGAGTTTTCTCCAGTCTGACAGACGCAGTAGCATTTGGCGTGGAAGAAGTGCCAGACTTGGTTGTCTGCACTGGCTTATTGGCTTGCGCAGCCATAGTGTTGTAGAAGGTGACGAAAGAGTCCCTCTCTAGTTGTAGAGAAACGCAAGTCTTGCTAGACTTCTCAGTTATGAAAACACAGGAGACCTAAGCACAAGCTCATTAGTCAGTCGCATGCAATCTACTGTGGCTAGGAACAATAAGGGCTGTCTTCCAGGTTCGCAACAGCACGGGACAATTAACCAGTGGCTAGGAGGAACACAAGACACTTACCTGGGTATTGTAGGATCAAGATCAGCAATTATATGCTGATAGGAGGGATGAAAGCTTTGTGTTTAGCGCTCAAATGTAGTTGAAGCAGTTCACTGTCGGTAGTGAAAGAATCAAAGTTCAGGAAGCGTGTGGTCAACTTTCGAGATGAGAAACTGAGCAAGGTTAACAAACGATGTCGAAACAGTCTATAATTTCTGAAAACAAGTCTTTCAAAGAAACAACCAAAGACAATCTGAGGTTTATAAACTCTCTTGTTGTACTAAGGTCAGTCTAATTGGCATAGATATTGCAGAAGTGTGCAGTAGAGCGAACAAAAACACAAGAAAGTCTAGAGAAATCTTTGGGAGATATGGATAACCGACAGAAGGGAGTGCAATATATCTGGATATTTCGAGTAAAGGGGAAACAAGTCATGTCAGAGGATCACGGCGATGAAAGGGTATATACACCGCCAACAACTGCGGGTGGCGATATTGGAAGCTGGACGTGGTGAATTGCCGGATTATAGCATGTCAGATGACTGCCAACCCTATGGAAAGGGAACCTCAACGTAACAGAGCCCTTGACCATCTCTCACGGACTACCAATGAAACTGGTGAATCTCTGGTAGTATGACGATGTTCACTTAGGGTCCCTGGTGTAGTTGATCCGTCGAGCTTTGAACGACATTGAATGACAGATAAAATAAGGATATGCATCCCAAAAACGAGTTCATGCGGTGCTCTTCTCGGCATTCAGAATGATTTGTGCATATTGCTTGAATGTAAGGTGGATGCTACAACATGACAAAGCTTCCCCATTGGGCCCGAGGCAAATCGCGGGGAAAGAGGAACAAAAAAAGGCAACATAAAACATGCAGTGGAATGCGGGCTGCGGGGGAGA